TTTTTTTTCTCAAACGTTTATAGATATTCTGTCCTAACCATGCGATAACTATTCTAACGAAATAGCTGTTATTAAAATATGATAAAACTTTGATTTGCTATCTCAAGAAAATAAATATATTTAGACATTTTTATATAATTTTTCTTTCAGCATTTGTTTTAACTAGAAAATTGTATTCCTTATCTCTGTTCATGATTTCTTCCAAGTTAACAGGAATTAAGTATGAGTCAATGGAAAATCTAAAATGAACGAAAGAACAAGCGAGATATTTTTAACGATCGTCAATTAATCTTTAAGTATTCTGTTTGCGTGTGTGAGTCACTGAAAAGTTCAGCAGGTGGCTGACAGTCTTCGATGTCAATAAAATTGGCAATACTCCTATTAATTTCCGTGCGTTTGTTTGTACAGATAGATCGATTGCCGCGCAACGTGTCGAGTTTCATTTATCATGTCACGCTTCTCCGTTATTTTTATTTTTCTACTCTTCAGCGAATCTCTCTATCTCAGTTAAGAACAACGTCGAGATACCTCGATGATAATTTGCGAGACATTTTAAACTGAGCAAATATTTTAGAACCGGAACTGAGATAAAAAAAGTGCACAACATCAGTGCATAAATTTTCTATTCCTATGCTCCTCGATCTACTGCACTTCGCTGCGCCAAGGTCGCCGATTTTATCTTCCTTTTACAAACAACATACAACTTGCTCGAGTCTCTTAAGTTTTAATGTGAATAAATATGTGTTGTAAGGTTGTTGTAAAGTTACAATTAATATTATAGTAAACATGGAGAGAAAGAGAAAGATTATAGTCTCTTGGAGTACGGCGTAAAAGCGATAGATATTTTTCCTGTCTAAGGACCCTCATTTAGAATAATCATCTTTGTTATATCTTTCTTACACGCTTCATTATCCCGCGGGCAACGCAATTCACCTCGCAAATCGCCAGGCAAATTTGACGCGAATCGGATTCTCGCTCGCTCGGATCCTCTTCAAAAGGTGCAGATAAAAAACGCCGCTCGTCCGCAATGCGACATTATAGCGTTATAGCGACATATCGCTCTTTTCCTTTTATCTTTATTATAATTTCGCCCTCCTCGCGTCATGTAATGCTCATCGACCGCGTGGGTCATCCATCCTAGATGACAGCTCCAATTCAAGGTCGTCGATTCTACGGCCATTGTGATTCTTTCCCTCCCCCCGTTGCAGCACGCGACTTGACATGCTCGTTCGAATTAAGCGACGTACGACACGCGTGTCGAAGCGCTCTCGATTGTTTGCGATTGTGTGATAATGGTCACCGGGCACCAATCCGGCGCGTTGCGGAGGAGCTCTGCCGTTCGGAGCCGCAGGACGACATATTGATTTCCTTCGCAGACTGGACACTGGCTATTATCGATCCGCTAAAAAGTTCAGGGCTGTCTCCGGGAAAGAGGCCGGGCTCCTTCGGCCTCTGTTTCGAAACTACGGAATCGCTCTTTACCGTGTAATCAGTTATCGAATATCTGTTGGCCCTCAATTCATAATTGACTATGTACGATATGCGTTTACACAGCTTATTGAGAATCGCGTGCCGAAACTAGGTTTACTCAATACCGATGGCAATCAGACTGTACAGAGATAAAATTATAATCTCAAGTTTGATTTTTTAAATAGGATTTCAAAACTTGCATCACTCTGTCTATCTATATTTATAGAGGTCAACACTCTTGTTAGTATTTTTAAATTTCATAAATGCTTACATCTTTTTAATATATATAATAATTTTCGTTTTACGTTCCATGTGTTAAACGTTAAATATTTAATTCTCTTATCAATATTTATTTAGTCAATTTGTCAAATTGATTAAACCAAATTTTCAAAATTATATGCTTAAGCATTTAGCAAAATATTGATTGCATATCTAATTGTAAATTACTCGAGATAATATATACAATAAAATTTAAAACACAACGGTACACACGAACTTAGAAAACGAATTTACCTATCCTATATATTTTTTATGTATTCGCAGAGTACACGTCGATCGATAAGAAACAATTGCGAATCGGTGAACAAATTTCGCGGGTGATCGAAGAACGCTCGCCAGTCGGGATCTTCCGCGCGTTATTATTTGAGGAGAGTAAAGAAAGGCAAAGAGTAAAAGAGAAAGCGTAAGGGAGACGGAGGCACTGCCGTGAGATGTACTATCTTTTTTTCTTCCTTTCGTACGAGGATACGTTTTGAGACGTCTAGCGTCGATTTTTCTGAATTTGGATATATTCTGGAGTAATCTAAATTAAGTGACGTGTCTTATATTTTTCTTTTCCAAATGCACTTTGTCGCAGATTTAAGGGATGCAGTAACGTGACAGTGATGTAATTTCGACAACTCGACACGTTCTAAGAATAAAACTGATAAAAACATTACATAATGCGTAACGAATGCGATGCACACATATGCATGAATGCATGCAGACAACAATGCTTGTACTCGTCGTTGCAATGACGTGCGAAACGTAACGAGCAAATTTACTGGATAGTGTAGCGCATAAACATACTTATTGTACGAAAACATTATTCACAATGCGATATTATTTTACTCATTTTTCTATTTAAATAAAATAAAAAACTTCATAATTTTTAACACACCAATATTCAGTATAATAATGTTTTTATTATATTCCAATTAAATATGGCAAGTGGCAAAAAAAATATCAGTTTAATCTTTTATTTTTTCTATGCATTCTATGATTCAAGTGACAATGAATAGGAATATCGAGTTCGTCCCCTAAATCTGCAAAAAAGAGTCTGAAGTATTTATAAAAATATACGTGTATCTTATTTTAAGATACTCTACGGCATATCCAAAGATAGCAAAAATCGGATAATAGCGAACTCGGGACGTTTCCTTAGATCTGTGAATTTAGGTACTAACGTTGGTGTTAGATAATCGTGTGCCGTGTGCCGAGAAGTATTTATATTTCGTGCAGTCACCTACATACACGTTTGTCGTTGGTTTGCTGTTGTTTTGCCAACACGTGAAAGATTTTTTTCTTGGATTGTTGCGTACGTTTTTCGCCTTATTATTGATACCACATTGAGAGCAACGTTACCGTTTTCACATCGACTTACTTCCTTCCGCTTCCCCGTCTTCCTTTCTTTTTCCAATGAATTATCCGTCGAACGTAAGCACGCACGCACATATACTTACACATTTACCGTGCATCCTGATGTTAATTGATTTCTCTTTTTTACGAGGATGTGATTTGCCTTTCAAAAGTAAGATACCGATGTAGGTATATTGCATATTTTCTGTGATGAAATATCAGTGAAGTGATATTTTTTTATATTTACAAACTCTTCAAACATTCTTTGAATTTTATTCAAACGCGCTTTAACTAGAAAAATAAAAATACGTATCTTAGGAACGATGTAAATGTAATTTTTTTCTAATTAATGGTTGCTTTTCTGTATAATATAAATATTGTAACTGGCATATTATCAGAATGCACGTATTGAACATGCACACATATATACAAATGTATTAGAAGACGCGAGTTTCTCTCAGTTCTTAATGAATTCGCCAATAAATATGGAGAATTGATTCTTTTCGTAATAAACATTTGATAAAAGACTGTATTAGAAGAATCTTGTATTATCAAAAATATTATTGAATTTTAATAAATTCGAGAATGTGGAAATAAAATCTAACTTCTCAATTAATTTTAAATAAAATTTGCTTCAGTAGAATTTTAATTCTCGATTTAATTATTAAAATATTTAAGCTAAGAGAAAGCGCGGGACTTTCAATACTTGTGTACAGAACATTTTATCACAAATCCGAGCTCGCATATCTTGTATATATAGAAAACAGAAGAAAAAAATAGTTTCGTCTTAAGGGTACGATTAAGTTAAACCTTTCGAAGATATGCTAATTTGGAACATGAAACAAAACATGGTGTACACTTAATATTCTTGCTCACACACATACACACGCGTATTGATTGATATCGAAACACACAGAAGCGCATTTTGATCGATCGTCCGTATGTTACGTATGCGCGAAGATCGGTCGAAGAGAACTCGGTCCCTCGCTCACTTTGCCGTTTGGTGTTGCGTGCTTTTGGTGTTGGTAGAGAGCTGCTCGAGAGCGAAAGACCGTCGAGCCGAGAATCTTCTTGTAACGCGAAACGCAATGAAGAAAGTTTGTGTTTTTCGCCGCGCATGCTCTTCGCGTTGACGAATCGACGGTGTAGAAACACGCGTTACGTTCGTGCGAACCACGTCTTTGCCACGTCGATTCTCGGGACATTTAAATAATCGCTGTCTTTATCTTTATCTTTATACGTTCATCAAGATAATCAAGAGACAGACGAGTTTTCAAATATTTATTCCGATTGACGACCTATAACGGACATCGCGAATTGTACATTAAAAACACGTTACACGAAGAAAATGTTCTTACATGCACAATTATACCTAATCATGACACGAATAACATTTGCTGTACGTTATCTTTCCTTCCTAACTCCATTATATCCTATAAAATGAGAGAAGTATATAATTGAAGTGAACGAAAGCTATCGTATTTATTCGTTGCATCTTTTTCGAAAATTCGGAGCATTGTCCGATGGCTTTCGATCGCTTCAAAACAGGTGTACTTGTTTGTAAATTATTGTTTAGCGGACTAGACGGCGTTTTATTTAACCAGTTACGGCAAATAATTCTTATTCTTAATCAGACTTGACATATAAAATAAAATACAATTATTCGCACAGATTAATCTGTAAGATTGTTAATATTCGCATTAACATTAGCACGAAATGGTGGAGCGTTTGATCTACATAACAAGAGCTAATTTCGCTTCATTCAATTTCTTTTTCTTTCTTCAGAAAGTAATATTGCCGTCAGTGCGCGTCGCATTGCACTTAATTTACAAACATCCGCCGCCTTAGATCGAGTGTCGTTGCGCCCGTCATTGCATTGACATCCGTAACTAACGGTCATTTTCGTTTTGCAGAGTACCGCCGGGCTACGTGTACCAGTCGCCCTACCTGGCGGCTGCGGCGCCAGGTGGTCTGGTACCGCTGCCGACGACGCAGTTGAGCCACGCAGCCGCCGTCGCCGCGGCATCGCAGTTCTACGAGTACCAGAACGCGGCGGCAGCCGCGGCGAGTTACCCGGGCACCTCGTACAACTTCGCCGAGGCGTATCCGTACACCACCGCGGCCGCGGCTGGTACGTGTTTGAATAGTGTCCAGAGCAAGGGTAGCAACTATCCGATACACCACCACCAAGCCCACCAACAGCAACAGCAAAACGGACCCGGTGCGACGTTGGCGCATCAGCAGCAACGGTTGGAGAAAACTCTCCTGCCGCAATTTCTGCCGTCCGTGCTGCGTGATTACGGTAGAAGATCTTAGAAAAAAAAAAAGATAGGGAGGGAAGATAGGAGGGTTGCGCCGCACTTTCCTCGGGGGCTACTGTCCGTAGTGCGCTTATCCGCAAGCGGGGTTCTCACAGGATCTGGTTTTCGTTTTCACAAGGGGTTCCGGGGGATACATGGGATAATGCGGAGGGAATTGAATTGGGGAAACGCGTAACCTGATGTGCGCAGCTTTTGCTACGCACCAAATTATGCATGGTTAGGGGAATAATAATTCCGATGTCGGGGATGTATAATGTCGTCACGAAGCGGATGCAATGAAGTATCGCTTATTCTTATTCTATACACACACGCCTTTACGTTTTCCAAAAGCCTTCGGCATTTCCGGACGGATCCGTCGTGGGAACTCCGCTACGTCTTTTGTGTTGATATATGTTAATAAATAGATATTTCGCTTTCTTTCGAATTCGATCGTTGAATATTTTGCAACCCTCATATCAATATCAATTAAGCAGGAACATTCTCAGTAAGTTCAAAAATTTTCAAGTTATGAAATAGAATTTCACTTTTCTTATTACTTCTTACATACTTTTATTTTTTTTTTTTTTTTTAATGATTGCATATGTATTTCTTACATTAGCTTATACGTTCGCGCACGAAGTCTCTTCACTGTTCGATGCTCGAAAATGGGCGAACAACGAACAGGATAAAATCTTGCATGCGCTTCATGAACTATAAAATTGACGCATAATATATTGCCAGTCTGTCTGTGCTGTCTGTGGTGATGGTGGCGGTGTTCTCGGTGAGTGATGGTGGTCAACGAGAGAAAGCACTATCCGCTTTACGTATTACAAGTGTATAGCACTATAAAGAAAAAGCTGAGGCACGCAATAAGATTCTCAACGCGCACAAATCGCTTGCGTATGGCTTTTTCTATGATCTCTGTTACGTATCAAGGAACGATATTTTACCTCGAACACGTACGCTAGATGTGTTATCTCTCATGTGTAAAATTTTAGACGAATTTAGAAATGAGAATTTTGTAATGAAAGTTTCAATAAAAACAATTATAAGATTAAATAACATATTATTATATTGAGTATGCATGATGCTCATGAGACATAAATTTTTCCTTGCAGCTAATGCAGCCGCGGCAGGTTACGTGGGACCGTACACGTACGCGACTTTGCCAGGTGCCGCAGGACTACCGGCAGCGGCAGCGGCGGCGGCAACGGCAGCTGGAGCAGCTTTCCCAGGCTTACCGTATCAGACAACACCTCAGGAGGCCAGATTGCAATAAAGCTTTAGCATTAGACCGTCACGAGATAGTTGCAGCTAAGCCTTCTACGAGACAGAAACGGGTGACAGAGCTGCGCGACACATTCGATCCTCGATTGTCGTCTTCGGGGATCAGCTCATCATCTTCCTCGTTATTAGTTATTTTTCGAGAATTCTATATGTTCCTGATTACGTCTCGCGAATATGTCGGAATACACCAACCGCGAGAATCGCAAGAGGCGAAGAGGATGAGCCTCGACGAAGCGACAGACCGTCAGTGACCCGCAACTTCTCGCTAACAATCTGTACTCTTCCCTTTTCGCCTCCCCGATCGAATCTTCCTCTCCCTTCTCCCATAGAGCCTGGATAACTGGCGCGCTCGACCAACATAACGTGGAATTTTAGAAAAGACGCAACGATTTTTAGAGTTACGATTATAATTATAACGATCGCTCGTTCGGGAAAGTGATCCTCGACGTGCGAACGATTCGGAACTTGAGAGCCGAAAAAAGAGGCTTAAGTGAACGTACTTTGGTCCGTATTCAAAAGCTATGTGCGTGAAAGGCCTATTATTGGGTTTCGAACATCACGTTATTCTAATATTTGATGTGTATTCTAAAATGTCACAACCGGGCGATGTATCGAAATGTATAATAACTACACGTTATGATTTTTGAAACATATCTTGATTTTTAAATTTATCGAATATTATAATTCTGTGCTCCTATACATTTTCGTCGGTGGTTCCTAAATCGAACGTATCGTTCGCGAATACGAATTCTGTAAGCAATCTTAACGGTGTCATTCGAGAAACTTCTCTTCAGAGAACATTCGTAGTTATGACACACGATATGTCTTCGACAAAGTTAATGCGCTAAAAATATATCGACGAAGATTAATGCGAGAAGTCCGCGTAATAGTTTTAGAATCAGTTACAGAGATGCGCGTTTTCGGAGAGAACGTGTTTTAAATTTTAGTTAAATTTTAAGTAGATCATAAAAAACGTAATGATAAATAAAATTTCTAGTGCTATAAGTTGTTAAGTTATATTTTCACGCGCGTTTTCCGATGAAGAAAAAGGTCGCGTTTGTCTGTAATGGATCAACTTTTAGGATAACGCCTTAGGAAAGCGAGAGACGGAATTTATAGCCTCCTTGGCGAATAAGAATTTGCTATTAATATAAATATACATGTTGATATGTTCACATATATGTATATAGTTATAATAATTATAATATGTAATAATTATAACTATTATATATCACGTAACATATAATTAAATATTATATAATAGTTATAATTATCATAATATATAATAATTTTAACTATATATAATTGTAATTCTTACATAATTATTATGTTTCTTCAAAAATTGATTATAGATACCGTTTATAAATATATCTACATATAGAATACGTTGTAATAACAAGGTATATCTTCCAAAGTACTTGTCTACCGATATATTAATTCGTGCGCACTGCTTGTTTCGGCTCTCTGTTGCTTATCAAAACATTATTTTACTTATATATATATATAAATATATCGATATTTATTACAAGCTATAAAATATTACGCGTATTAGTAGTTGAGATATTAATTGATTTTACCGAGATAGAATCATAAATGTGACTTATTTATAGAAAAAAAATGAAGCGTACATGATTGTCGAAAACGTCTTATCTAGCCGCGGTGGCCTTAAAATCGCACATCAGCGAACAACGAAGTGTCTTACTTTCGAGGCCTTGTGTTAAGCAACTAGATACTAAATGATCAAGTAACATCGACCAATTTTATGGCGATGCGAACTCGCAGAGGATCGAGGAGTAAATCGATTTTATTTGATAAATCACTCTCATTGATACGGAGCGAGCCTAACACATCTTATCGCTATCCAAGAAAAAATTTAATTTTTTGTAACGATTAGTGATTCTGATGAGAGTATCCGTTTTAAACGTAAGCGTACCTTTTAAACATTTGTATTGCCTGATTATTGTCGGCGATAATTTTCTGACATTTGATCTAATCGATAATTTTTCGTAAAACTCAGAAGAAAATGTACATGCGTCTACTCTTAGTGATTCAGTGCCTTAATTAGCACAGTCGAGTAGCCGTAATGATTAGAAACTAGTCAGCGATTTCGTTAGTGCAACGCTCGACGCGCTAACTCGTGTACAAGAGTGACGCTCAACGAAAGGGTGAGGAGAGCTAAAGGAATATCAAAATGTAATCAACTAGGATCGGGTTATGAGGAACGTCGTTGTCTAGTCCCAAACCCTTTCAAACCTTAAACGAGGTTAACTCGGTTTGTTAGATTTGTAAGTAGAAGTTAATGGACACGGAAAAAAAAAACCAAAAGCGAAACTTTTTGTAAAAAGTTAGAAAGAGAAAACGTTAGGAGAATTTAGTGTTAAGTATTATTATATAACGTAATAGCAAAATAAATTATTATTATTATATTATTTCATTATTGATATTACGTTTTATTATTACTATTATTATTATCATTATTGTCACTATTAATTATATGGCATTGTTCAAGTACTTAACGAATGGATGGAATTATGAATATACGTGATTGAAGAATTTGTTATAAAAACACGCTGAGGCTTCCGCTACAAGTGAAGAGGATGGTAATAGAAAATCTGCGTTGAAGACGCAAAGAAATGGATTCTTATCATGGATACGATCTTTCTTTTGAATATCCTATACTCCCATTGTATATATAGACTTAATTCTATAAATAGGTTGTAATATATATTGCCTGTTATCCTCAATAATATTAATATGCGCTCTATTTACTAGATTCACGAAAACCGAAAACAAATATATTGTCATTAAGAGAAAAACCTCATGTGTTCTTATCAATTAATTATGCGTATCCTTTGTGTGTATCAATCTGATACATAGCAAACGAATAGAATATAATAATTATGAGAGATCAAACGTTTTTATATGTCTAATATCCATTTCTACGAATATAGATTAACTTTAATCTCTAATCCTTAGAAAAAGATAAAATAAGTAAAGGCTGATTTATAGAGGTCGTAACCGTTGATTTAAGCCGTAATCTTTAAGAAATTGACCAATCACAGTCGATTGTTCTCACATTTGACTGTGATTGGTCAATTTCTTAAAGATTACGATTTGAATCAACGGTTACGGCCTCTATAAATCAGCCTTAAGTTAAACCGAGATAAAATTAATCTGCAGTGATAGAAATGAACATAATTGTGACACAGATACATTTTTCCCATTTTTATGTATACTTAAAAATTTTCTATTTTATGATAATTGCCGTATATTCTTGTTAATTGTATGAAACAACGGGATTCTCAAGTTGCTTTATATTCGCTTTGTCCGAAAGAGATCCGTCGTATTTGCCTCTGTGTCGTCGTTTTTGACAGCTAAAGATAAATCTAATGGTTTCGCAGGATCAGAGCGTCGCGACAAATCTCAAAAACAAGCCTAATGAAGAACCGCCGTCGTCAGGACCGTAACAACTATGTAAAAATAACTAAACCGCTATTGATGGAACGAAATGATGATTTTACACTTGCGCCTCCACAGAGTATGCCGCAATCATAATATGACGCTCTTATGATAGCGTACTTAAAACATTTATTAGAGTCGAGAATCTTAATAAGGAAATATTGAAACTGCGATAGTTTCCGAATATGAAATTGTCAACGTTGGTTAACAGACTTATGTAAAATTCTCGCGCTTAATATGCATATAACTTGTAATATAAATTGGTATTTACCAATTAATTCGTCTGTTATTGATCTACTATTTTAATTGAAAAATCTGAATAAGCTTGGGCTTGATTCGGTACGTCATGCTTGACGAGAGATGACATGAGATCCAACACAAATGATAGGCTTTCCACACAATCAATATTACTGTCAATATGAGTTTTTACAATCTTCTTTATACACGTCTTTATAAATTTTTCATATCAAAATAAATATCCCGTTATTACGTTGCCGATATTCTATCGATATTAATTTCAATATAATACATTAAAAATATAATATTTTAATATCACATTAATATAATTGACACAGGTATGTAATTGATTTAATTTTTTGAATTAATAATCCGTAGAGAAAATTGTTTTATTCTCTCTGCAACAAAATATTTATTGGATCTCACGTCTCTCTTTTTTTTCTTATGGTTATTTCTTCATTTCAAATAATATAAATTCAAGTTATAATAAATCTGGATGGATTGGGCTATGTTGAAGATCAGGCTAAAATTAGTGAATCATAAGTATAAATATAATTAACAATTATTATCTCTCTTATTAAATAAATTATTAGAAATATACGGTATAAGATTATTCATAAAATATTTACGAAAAATTTTTTGTTTGGCTTTTAAATTTATGATGCTTTGAAAGTATCTCTATGTCAGTCTAGGTATTACTTTCTAATTTGACTTTATTAATGGCAATCCTTGTTTAATACAAACGTGTTTGCAACTTTATTTGTAATTAATGCAACAGACTATTATTATGTATATAAGTTTGATAGGGGAACGGAGAGTAGCCCCGGACATTATTGAAATTCAAGTATACCGCGTATCTATGGCTATTGTTTAAACGTTCTGCATATGTCGAGATACGCAGAAGGGCATATTAGAATGTTTGAACAATGGCCATAGATACGCGGTATACTTGAATTTTAATAATGTCCGGGGTTACCCACTGTCCGGGGTTACTCCCCGTTGCCCTAACTGATTTTTCATTAGACTCAATAGACTAATGTCTTCGATTTTAGTATCTGATATTAGTATCTGATTAATAATGATTACAGCATTAACTACGGCAATCTATCTACTGCAATTATAGTCAATTACTAATGCATAAAAAAGTACAGTAATATCAAATAAAGACTTTCAATTAATTCATATCTGTAATCTTATAAATATGCAATATCACAGCATTAATTATAATTTTTAATTTAAAAAAATTTTTGTAATCTATAAAACGAGAAAAAGAAAAAGAAGTGATCTTGCATGGCTAATACAGAATACATCATGTAATGATCACTCTATTAATTATTATCGCGTATTTTAATTAACTTATCTATTCATAATCTAATATAGACAAAAAAGCAATCACAATATTAACTACAACTACAGCACTTCTACTCTATAGAACAATTAAACAATAATCATGGCAAATGTAGAATATATCACAATCACTGTCAATTGCTACCATACATTTTAATTAATTCGTGAACCCATAAACTAATAAATATGTAGCGATCGTTACATTAACTGCAGCTACTATTACTTTACAGAACAATTAAACGATCATCACGGCAAATGTAGAATATATCGCAATGGCTGTTAATTGGTACCGCGTATTTTAATTAATTTACCCATAATCTAATAGACGAAACAATCATAATATTAACTACAATTACAGCACTTCTATTCTACAGAATAATTAAACAATGATCGCGGCAAATGTAGAATATATCGTAATCACTGTCAATTATTACTACGTATTATACTTTATTTAATTCATGTGTTCATAAAACAACATTAGTTATAGCTACAGTATTATTAATTTACAGCACAATTAAATAGAAATCACGGCAAATATAAAATATATGAAATAAATATTAAAAAACATATATATATATATATATATATATATGTATATAGAGAGAGAGAGAGAGAGAGAGAGAGAGAGAGATAGTATTAATTACTGTATGCATACATACTACATATTTAAATTAACTCATGCATACGATTAAATTGTGGAGAATATATAGGTAATGCCATGATCGCACTTTGGAGTTCACTTATTGAAAAAGAGAACTATTTCGTATACGGTTTTATCTGCATTTATTTATTATTTATAATAGACATGTTCTTATTATAATTCAAACATTTTGAAATTATTATACTAATATTAAGATTGATATTTTTTGTAATTAATAGTCTGATGCATAATAAAATTCTATTGCTCCAAAATGTGTCAATAAATAATCAGTAAATAAATTAAATAATGATAAGCTGACTACAATATTTATTTATCACTTATATTTTATATTAAGTCAATTATATAATCAGTACTTATTTGTTTGTGATTTGAGTGTGCGAGCATCGTATGAATTCTTTATACCGATATACAGGAAAAATCAATTAATAATTACAAATATATATCTTTAAATCAAATAAAATGACATTAATCTCTAGCATAGCCCATCCATTCCAAGGCAATGGATTTGTGAGATATTATAATTATCCATCTCTATGATATTCTCAATGCAAACTTTTGATTTTTTAGATAAATTATAATTATAAAAATAATATTATTGTTGCATTTATTTTAAAAAAATATTAATTTTTCACAAATCCATTACCTGAAAATTAAAATAATTTAAGACTCACCAGTCCCCGATGCGCAGCAGCGGAGTTTCATGATATTAATCTGTAAATTTTAAATATATTCAAATATTAAAAAACAATATTCCAAAAGATATTTCAAAAAATAAAGACTGCATGTTAAACTTTTTATATTTCAAATAAAACAATAAAAAGGCGCGCCAAGCACACGCGTAGCGCGAGACCGCCGTGACTCTTTTATTTCGCGAACGCACGAGTTGCAAGTACCTTAATTTTTACAAAATTAAATCTGACAAATAAATCTAATCTTTTTACTGACTAAATAATTGCAAATCTGTCTTAAACATTTTTAAATATATAATTATAAATATTTCCTCAATTTCACGTAAACATTAAAATGCATCGTTAATATTTTATTAAACAAAACAAAATTTCGAGTCCAAAATAAAATCTAAAATATTTCTCATGGATTATATTACACAGATCAATATAAAATATTATAAAATGATCATGTATCATCGTGCAAATGAACAATCAGCTCTATTCAAGAAAAGGTAAAAACGTATAAATAATAATACGCACGATACGGTAAAAAATAAAAAAAGTAAAAAACAATATGATAAATTGCAACAAGGTCTGACACCGGGTATAATTTCACTGAGCTCAATCATCTGCAACGCCCCAAGTAGCAAAGATGACGTCTAAAGACGTCTTATTGACGTCATAGACGTTAATAAGATTAAGACGATTAAGACGTTATTAAGACGTCATTTGACGTCACTTTGCTACTTGGGGCTGCAGGTACGCGGAGGAGAACCTCGCGTCGAACGTCGCGTTTCACTTCTTCGCGAATAACTATAAGGCTCATTATTGCGCGCCTATGGCACGCGAATCTGAGCTCAACGAAATTACGTCCGCGATCTAACCCTCGATTACAAGATGCTCACCCGTCGGTTGCTCCGCTGTCGCCTGATGCCACCCCGGGCCTCCTCCTCCACTCTAGCCTCGCTGTTACTCCGATTCCTGGGATATACGCACATATCACACACACGCAGAGTCACATCAGAGTCACACTTCGCGAGGGCAGGATCAGCCGTTATCACTCACGTACCGCTACTACCGTTGTCGCACGTACTGCTCCGGCACTCCCGTCGATCGCGCACAACCGCTAATCACGACGTGCACCTCGTTAAATCGCGCCGGAGGAACAACGGGCGGAAATCTCGCAACACGTAACGCCCGACGCACCCGCGACGACCGGCAGGAACGCAACGGACAGATTCGAAATGGCGGAGATTGGAAATTCGTAGATCGCGCGGCCAACTTCACGCGACAGGCGCCGCGCCGACTACCGCGACGGTTCGCGTCGCGGCGATATGCTGCACCTGTTGCTCCTGCCTGTACTTTCGCCCACTCTTTGCACCCCGAATAATTGCCGGAAAAACTCGCGTTTCACGACGATCATCCGTCTCGTATTGCGACACGAGCGAACACAAGCGGGCTCGGATTAAGCGTCTTACGCGGAAAAGTCGAAGCGTATGCCGAAATATCGCCGAAATATCACTCCGCGAAGTAGCCTATACCGTCTTGTCGCCGCTCGCGCGAGAGGCTCGAGTTTCGGTCGAAGGAATCTCGCGTCATACGCGTCTCGCTAGATATGTTACGGATCGCCGACGTGCAGATTCTCGTCACGCGGTTGACGAGCGTCCAAAGACGGAGCCGATCGCGGCTGTACTTACGAATGAAAGGCGTCCCGGCGCCCCGCGACGCGCAGAGTCGATCCGTTCCGTGCCCGCGACGTTCCGCCAATGACTTTGAAACCGACGTCACCTGACACCTCTCACGCCGGCGCTGCTTCACCCCCCCCCCCACCACGCGAGTCAATTCGATAACTAATAATTCGGATTTGAATTCGAGCAATTATTGGCAACGCGCGACTGAGATTTATCATCGAGTATACGATAAATTTTGCGAGGCGCGGAATTATTAACGGATAATTGGTAATAATAGATCGCGATTCCGGCGATTCGCGTATTACTTCGTGCTCGCGGATGGCGGGCGAGTCGCGTTCAAATTGACTCGAAAAAGCCGAATCTAGAGCGGCCGAAATAATAGATTGATACTTCGTCGCCTCGATCCCCGGCGAGTAAATCGTGCGGAATATTCATCCGGGAGCAACAACCGTTATCCTGACACGTTCGCGAGGCGTTTAATTGAGTTTAAAAACTGGGACACAAAAATTACTTTTAAAAGCAAAAAATAGTAAAAAAAGTAGCAAGTTAATTTTATATATAATTTATTGTGTTCTGATAATTTGGCTTAGATAGCTTAATATACTTGTAGTTATTCTCTAGCCAATATTTTTTGCTTTTATTTAATAATTATTTTTGAATAATAGAAATATATTTTTCTTTATTGAATTATACAATGCAAGTAATTTATCTTTGTTTAACGCCGTATAACATTATTTTAAAATTTACATGTCAAAAATAAAGATATATTCTAAATAAGAATGTTCTTTTATTCTGTAACGATTAATTAAACTTGACGGAAGTTTCATAATACTTTGTGCATTCTCATATCTACATATTTTATTACAGTAAAGTTTTATGCGTACATATATTATAGATATATCTATAGATTCTCTGTATAAAATCTACTTGTTAAACATATATGCTTACATACGTATATAATATTTCTTTGAATAATAAACTGATTAGAGTGCGATATTAATGCTATAAATTTTATTACAATATTTTCGGATATTTATATTGGATACCAAGTTTCAAGTAACACAGTGAAATAAATTTAATATTGCTCTGCATCGGAGATATCGGAGATATCCAAATTGAATTACCTATAATGTGAATACGCGATTCTCTCTCTGACAGTTTAATTATTAATAAATCATAATCACAATCCCTCAAATACAGTTTAACTTTGAGTAATTTTACACGAACGGCAACTTTTTAAAGACTTCAGAAATAACGTTTCTGAAACGCGAGATTTCTTCGATGAGGCTAATACAAATCGTCGAGTTGCATCGGAAAGTTTCACAGAAGAAGTCCTGCGCGACTCGCAATTCAGCATCAATCCTTATAATTATTGCTTTATTCCAATTGATAATAACATTAAAATATTTCCATAGAGACATTTCTATCGCATCTCTATCATCGGACCGAAAGCTGCTCCATCGGAGGAGACAAACGCGTTATTCATCTCGTTATGCACTTTAGCATAGACCGCAACCAGGAGATGCGCTTGCTATCTTACGGCCGTGGGCGCGTTGGATCGCTTAGGTGCGAGTAATAAGATGTCAGCACCAGTGTCACGTTGGCGATATCCTTTGAATGACGTTCCGCTTATCATTCGATTTGATAGAGAAATAGTAGGGGAGCATTGCCATTGACATACGAATAAGCTCAGTTATCCCGCGTTTATTCGTGCTAACTAGAGCGCTCCCAGCGCGTGGGTGATTTCCGAGCTACCCGGTAGACGAGACTCGAGGATCGCGATCCAGTAGGAATCGCGGCCCGGAAGTCCCTTCTGCGTCCACGAGTCTAAGGTCAAGGTGAGAAACCATCGTCGATTCGTATCCTTTTTTCCTTTAATATCAGAAAAGTATTTTATGTATTTTACCAATATGCTTCCGCGACATTTGCCGCAAAAATTAAAAACATTTGGAAAGTGTGCTTTAAGGAAAGAGAGAGAGAGAGAGAGAGAAAGAGAGAGAGATTTAAAATTTAATTTTACACAACTTTTATCCTGTGAGATAACAAATAACACGGGATAACAATAACATGAGAATTAAAGAATTTGTATTTGTTTCCAAAATTAGAGATAACAAGAATTTGTATAAGAAATTTATGCACCGTAAACAAAAGATAATATGTATGCACATAAAAGATACGCTATGTAAATAATCGAGATAACGCATATTTTAAAATGAGCTAGAGATAATTTTATAAAAATATTACTAACTTAATAATATCTTTAATATAAATAGCAATTTGAAATTTAAATAATTGCCTTAAATTCAATTTTATGAATATGTAATTTGTATTTTTTCTTAAATAAATAAATCGTAAAATTCAACAATGTAATTTATAATTTTAACGCGTTGTTTTACAGAATCTTTGTAAGCGACAAAAACGGAAACGCTGATCGATTAAGTCTTCGAATTAGCGTCTCCGACTGCACGACTCGTGCTTAAGATAAATTGCAATTACGTAAGCTTATATCTCAGGTAAATTGAGACTGAGAATAACAGTGTTGTGAACAAATCTCAACCAACAAATAAAATAAAATAAAAAATTAATTACTGAAAGTTGTATTAACAAAATAATTAGCTCTTTAATATAATATAATATGTAGCTCTTTATATAATATAATAATTTAATTTAATATAATATGTAGCTTTTTAATATAATAATTTACAACCAAATATTTCTAAAACGTTTACTCAAACATTAACAAAAAATTCTATAAATCAAACTCATGAAAAAATAGTACGAATATAGATTAGCAAATTTTGTGTATTTTACATTTTTTTCATGAATTGAAGGCATATCGGATAAATTCCTCATAATCTTTTACTTTATTCGAAATTTTAGGAACAAATAAAAAGTTTTTTTTTATGTATATGTGCTGGTCTTATTATTAAAAATTAATTTAACGAGTATTTCATTGACGAATGTTGTTGGCACAGAAGAATTACATGCCAGATTTATTCGAATGATTTATTGGCGTGATAAGCTTAATTAGATTTGTAGATTAGATTGTTGCATACTGTAAATATACTCAGATCTTCGTTATTGCGAGTATAAAAAATTCTCTTACTTCATTCTTCGATCTTTTTAATCAAGTTAACAAATAAGTTTAATACGCTATTATACCTAATTAATTTATTAAATTTATTAATACTCCTATGGATTTACAAGAAATTGGTAGTGTATAATTAAATATCTAGTTTACGAAGATACAATAAAAAGTATTTACAATCTTAATAATAATACATATTATTATTAATACGTGAAATTATAATTGCAAAAAATAGGATATTTTAAGCTTAAAATTTTGATATATGCATTATCGTTTATCCTTTCACTCACTTTCGGTTTATTGCATTGTACACGCGCTAGTCGGATTAAGTCGACGTCTTCAGATTCGAAAAGTGAGTTGCGTAACGGATGCGTTTGCGTACATACAAGAGACGTCATTGTTACCATCATTATGCTATGCTGAGGTATCTGCCAAGTGTGAGCAACGTGCGAGATTTATTATCTCTATTAACGTATTAATAATTACGCGACTTATGATGAAAGATAATGGACTTATCGCGTCCTGCATTGCACGTACATGTCGCATGTTCATCAAATTCTCACGCTGCAATGTAGAAGCACTATAGAAATTGAATGCATCTGCAGTCATCGACCACGAGCAACTTGAAAACACCGCATGCGTTTGTGGCCTCGTAATCCCATTTTCATACTTCATTCAATATATGTAATATCGTTTTGTATCCACTTTAACACGTCTAGACCATTTATGATCGAGAATGCAAGTCATTGTCATCGATTCCCGTTGTTATCATAATGACAACGCATTATATTTCCTTAAGCGTTGTATTTCATATAGCGCATTGACTTAATTAGCATCGTCGGGACGCTTTTATCGCAGAACTTAATTCTCCAGAACGCGCTGAAGTGGATGCAAAACATTGGCGATCTGGCAAGGCTATAGCAGAAATCGTTCGCAACAAAAGCTATCGAGAATTTTAATACGATACGATTGTCAATGCTGTAACCGTGTAGTATGTTTCGATTACCGCATCTGTATTGTTATAAATAAATCTCTATGCTCATATTAATTTTGCTTTATAACAACGTTTATAACATCAGAGTCTCAGCTTATTGAATCATATCAAGCTTGGAAGTCTGAAGATATCAGTAGAAATAAAGATAATCAATATAAAAAGGTATAAATAAGATATACCTGCGAAGGTTTGCAAACACTATAAAAACTGATGTTATAAATTATTGCAATTACTATGTTTATGTTTGGAAGTTTGTGGACTTTAATGATATAGGTGTAAATTAATTTAGATTTAAAAAGGACAGATTCCGCTAATCAATCTTTTTAGAGGCTACCGGAGGCTATCGGAGGCTATGAGTAAAGATTGTGGAATATGTGGGATTTATCCCAGATGGTTGCGAAATCGTGCCACCCCGAAGAATTTCATCGCGGTGTACGGTTTACTGGGCACCGTCCAGGCGATGGCCTTTATCTACATCGTCGTCACCCTGACAACTCTGGAGAAGAGATTCAAGATACCTAGCCGTACGACTGGTGAGTCTCATTTTCGTAATCACACATAATATAACTTCACGACGAGAGGCGACTGTACTTCATTTTATATATGTATATTGACGAAGGTACACATCGGTTTACGGGTACGAATCTACGCGGCTTTGCGATCGGAACTCTGTATGGCGATCAACTAGTCTCGGTATGGCGATCAACTAGTCTCTCGGCGCTTAAATGTCTGTTTAGAGAAAAACCCCAGACGTGAAGTAAATTATTCATATATATATACTCGACACCGCGCTTTATCTCGACACGGCAGAACTTTAAACGTCATCTCGTCTTAATCGCCTTCAACCTCGGATCCCATTGCCGGCAAAGCCGAGCAGCCGAGCATCCGCGGGTATACTCGCGTATAAGTACTCGTACTTGCACACGTACGAATCGCGCGTTTCCGTGTGCGTCTATCTAGTAGGTAAGTAGTGTGTCGCAATCATAGAAGTGACAAATCTGTCGTACAACGAGCACTATATATGCGTTGAAGAGCGAAGACACGCGGATATGCATTATATGATTTTGTAGTCGGCCGCAATACTCGAAATATTAACGCGTTTCGTAGAGAAGCATTCATATAATTCCAGAATAAACGTGATATTTATAAAATTAATTTAATAAATGAATTAATACGGTATATCCTTTTCATTTTTAAAATCTGACACATATACATACACATACAACATTTTAATATTTCTTCATGAAAGGATTTAAAGAGTTTAAAGTAAGAGATCAGAAGAGGATTATTTATGAGTGATATTCACATACTGAAGCGAAACGATAAGGTAATCCTTTGTTTGCAATATTGTACACGATAAACAGAAATGAGCATGCCACTTGTGTTAAGTCCATTATGTTGGTTAAATATTTTCGTTTAATTTAATAAAAATTATTTTTTCGTCTAAAAATCTGAAACCTTTTTCTAACGCATTTATATAATAATAACTAAAATGTTTTACGTACATTTAAAATTTATTTTGCACTTGCTTTGGACATCAATTGTATTGATTTTCGTTAAATGGATAAATATATATTATAGTCATATACAGAGTCACAATTAAATATAAATTTAAAAAAATTTTATTTTATATTGAAGAAACAAAAAATTTTATGTAACTATCCAATTCTGTTACATAGCAGAAAATTGCCAAAATGCGAAACGACTAGAATAAAAAAAAAGTGCATCGAAGGGCTAAGTAAGTTTATCACGTGTCCGTGTAACTTTCTTATTATATCATAGGGTTGATCCTTTCGGGCAACGAGATCTCTCAGATCTTGTCCTTGATCTTGACCTACTACGGAGGATCCAGTCATCGGCCAAGATGGATCGCGGTTGGGGTCGGCTTGAGCGCATTGTCCTGTCTCATTTTGGCACTGCCGCACTTCATATACGGTCCTGGAAAGGACGCCTTGGCATTGACGAAGGAATATCTGGATCAGACCTTGTTGAATATGACAACCGTCCCGGAGAACTTCGCGATTTGTCCGCGTACGAACCAGCCAGAACTTTGCGATGCCGAAACTAAGTTGAGCGTTAGTTACCTCCCTCTACTGTTGATTTTTATATCTCAATTTGTTCTTGGTATCGGAACTACTCTTTATTACGGTTTGGGACAGACGTATTTAGACGACAATACGAAGAAGAAAAATACGCCTATGCTCTTAGGTGAGCATCGATTAATAAACTCTATGTTATTTTAATAATATTGACAGATTTGAGCTAGCAAAAATGCATCATAATCAAGATCTAAATTTATCTTTTATAAACATAAAAAGTCAAAGCGCTTCTTGCCATCACGTTGTAATAACTATAAATCGTTTTTCTTAGCAAGTCTGATAAGTATTGCGGTATCTTAAGAGCGTGAATTCAAGATAAGATCTTGCCAAACGCCCCCTGTTATACTTGGAATGGAATATTTCGATAATTTTATCTGATTTTTACAATTGTGCGTACTTACACAATTACGTTTTTAGTAATAAAATTTTTTAGACTATGCAATTTTCTGCAATGTTGTAATTGTTGCATTACTGCCATGAATTAAAGAAAGATTTAACAGCAATAATTTCCAATTCTATTTGTAAGGTTTTACGTTCGCTTTACGTACCGTGGGTCCAGCGATTGGATTTCTATTGGGCTACGCCTGTCTGAGTTTATACATAGACCCAAAACTTCATCCCGTTATTACGACGAAAGATCCGCGATGGTTAGGCGCATGGTGGCTCGGATGGATCATTCTTGGCGTTACGATGGCTATGTTTGCCGTTTTGATCGCTATGTTTCCACGTGATCTTCCTACATCAAAAGATATTTCTAAACCGGTAATTCACATTGAACGTTATAAGATTATTAATTAAGAAGATATTTTATTATATGAATGACATAAAAAACATTTCTTTTCTCTTTAAAAAACAAACTTAAAATATAATATTAATCAATATCTTTTAGTTCTTAGTAATTAAATTAGAAATAAATAATAAAACGAAATTAATACACATATAATTTTTATCTATAGCAAAAAATATATTATTTTACATATGTATTTATTTATCTGTATAAAAGTAGTGGTTTTTTATGAAAAAACCAGCCAATATAAATTTCTAGAAAACATTAGTTTATAAAGTCATAAAAAGATGAATAAGTAGATGACTCGCGGAGAATTACAAGTTTTTATAAATTAATTAATTAAAAATATTGTTTCAGGATGGCGAAATACCTTTGAAGTTAGATTTAGTGCTGCAGCAGAAGCCTCCGTTACAGATGGAACCTACCAACCCAGTACCCGTGGAAACTGAGTACATACCGACAATCCGTGAATTTCCAAAAGCCATGAAACGGTTGTTAACGAACTGGCTGTTGACCTGCAACAATTTAAGCGCCGTATTTTACATTCTTGGCGCTTCTGCCTATATCACGTTCTTGGCGAAGTATCTCGAAATCCAATACAGTACATCCGCGGCTGGCGGTACCGTGATAACAGGTACACGTATATTAATCTACAAGAATGTATTTTAGTTACTCCATGTGTTATCTTTAAAATATTTCACACGATAACATTAATTTGCTATCAGGAGCGCTTTCATACGATTTTCCTGCTGACAAATAAAATCGATTTTTTGTGTCGAAAGAGAAATATTTTTGTCAATACTGATATACTTGTAATACATGTTGCTTTGCTCTAATTCACAGGTCCTATATCGCTAGTTGGTATAGTATTAGGATTCCTGTTATCGGGATTAGTAATTAGCAAATTTAAGCCTAGTCCCAGACCGCTCCTCGCGTGGAACGTACTCGTCGGTATTATCTTCGTCGTGGGACAAATTTTATACATATTTCTTGGCTGCACGAACTCCGGAATCCGTGGTATAAACTTGAAGACTATGGAGTGAGTATCTTTAAAATTTTATTTTTTTTTTTTTTAATAAAGACCACACAAATCAACATCTCGCTTAATCGCTAATATTACAATCCGATATAAAATTTTTATTTGTTTGCAGAATGAATTTGACAGCTGATTGCAACGCCGATTGCAATTGTGCGGGCGTCAAATATTCCCCGGTCTGCCACGAGGCGTCAATGACAACTTTCTTCTCCGCCTGTCACGCGGGATGTCGAACGATCCTGGACGACAAACAGTTCGGGAACTGCAGTTGTCTAACGTTGAACGAGCCAAGCCGTATCGGAGACCACTTTGATTACTTCAGCTCCAGTAGGGCTTTCATTTCGGAACAGCAGATGCGTCCGCCTGACTCGCAGGCACTGCCGCCGATCTCCGATACGGTCAAAGCCGGTCCGTGCGCCAGCGACTGCAAACGGCCGTATTTGCTCTTCGTATTGCTCAACTGCGTGATCAATACGCTGGGCTGTTCCGGGAAAATCGGTAACGTTCTGGTGAACTACAGGAGCGTCGAGAAGAGGGACAAGAGTCTCTCCCAGGGCGTCACGCTCATGATCGTCTCGCTGCTGGCTCTAATTCCGGGGCCGATTATTTTTGGGGCTATCATCGACTCGACTTGCCTGATATGGGAGGAATCCTGTGGGACTAGAGGAAACTGCTGGTTCTATCACAGGGATAATTTCCGATTCTTGGTGAACATCTCGGCGGCCGGTGGGTATCGTCGAGTTTAACGACCTATATGTTTTAGCTAGCTGCATCTGTTTGCTCGCCAACTGAGATTAGATAAAGAAAAAGAAGAAAAAAAATCGCAGCAGATAAGAATAAGTTTATCGGACAATGGATAAAATAATTTTACTGATCGATTACTCATTCGAATGACCTGTTTGATTTCGTCGACTCGTTTATAAAGAAGCATATTGTTTCGTCATGTTACAGGATTTACCGTGATAGGGGTATTATTCGATGCTATAGTTTGTTATCTCGGCAAAGATTTGGATCTATATGGCGCCGCGGAGACTGACAAGAGGCGCGAGTTCGTGAGGGAAGATGGCGCCGCGATTGATAATGCAGACAAGAAGAATGAAGTTAATGGGAATTTAAATCAGAGGACAGAGCACAGTCGTCTATAACGCTGCCTGTCCGATAAATGGACAAATCCGATAAGATTTGTGGAATTGCTCTAGGTACCTGAAAATTTCCGGATCTTTCGTGACTGACGCCGAACATTCCGATAGTACAATGATTCTATAATATTAGCGACATGAGCTAATCATGTAAATAATGTTAATATAAATGCACCCTTTGTTTGTTAAACTCTCAAGCTTCTAAACGCTCGGAATCGAAAGCTGGGAGCTATAATCGTTGTTACACAATTTCATTTGTTATACCTTTATTTCCGAATCATACTCATTCTTATTTCTTTGTAAATAAATTACGCTTATTTTTTGTTAACACGTTATTACCCTCACGCTTCATAATGTTCTATTCCACATTTGACAATTTTTTTATTTTTATTTTCTATTAGCTAAGATTATATCGGAACCTTTCTTTCGGAATGCATAAAAAAATTTTGTAAAAATTATTTATACATTAATTATTATTTCCATTTCCGCAATTTTCGGCCAAGTCAAATTGAACGATCCGTTGTTCCGATAAGGTATTCACCCTTCATTGCTTTATCGCTCACCGAGTCTCCCGCAAGCGGAATATAACGCGCCGCGAGACGAAAGGGTTTATTCGGAAAACTACATCGCGGATCGGTGGAATCGACCGTGCTCGCGCTCTTCAGTTTTAGAACGAGAGGGGAAGAGCGTCGAGACGGTGGAAGATGGGAGCAAAGTCTCAAGGCTTGTCTTCAGGCCGCCGAAATTCGGGGGTTCGGCGGGGGCATGGGGCATACGGGGCTACTGCCGGACGGAGGGATTACATCCCACGAGGCTGAAGGTAAAAAGGGAGTTTTTGTTTGAGAGCCTTTTAATTTTTAAGCCCACCCAACTAAAGCGGGCGGCTTGGCCCGCGTAATGAATTCCGCGACGTTCCCGTGACGTCAGGTCGTCCCTATCGATCGCATCCTTCGGAACACCATTAGAGGATGCGCTTCGGCATTACGATTAAGCGTTCCGCCTTATTCCATCGCAAATAAAGAAAAATGAGGTCTATGAGACGGTTAGCAACGTCTGCCGCACTGACGAGAATGAGGATTCGTTGTTACGTAGTTGATGACGATGAAATGGTTTTAGGATTTATAAAGTGTCGTCATTTTTAGAGTTTATAAAATAATTCTTTGTCAATCTTTTATTGTTGTTGAAATAAGTTAATTAAAAAAAGCGTGTCTTGAAAGAAAATAACTGGAAATATACTTTATATAGCAGGCATATAATTTTATAGAAATTTTATTTTTATATTTTTGTGGTAATATCTTTTAAATAAAGTCTATGATCTAATGTCTTCGAATATAAAAAATATATATATTTAACACATGCAAAATTTTATTATATAAGAACAATAAAGGAAATAGAAGCTATCATTTCTTCGTGCCTCGACCTGGTATTGGGAAGTTTTGCTGTTGTGTGTACATGGTTGCATTGTGCATGACCCTGACCCATCTTTCATATAGACCTCATCAACGTCTTCTAAGTCGAGGTACAGTCCGATCAGACTAGTAGCGAGACTGCCCGATAAAGAAGGACAGAAGCCTGTGATATAGATGACCGGAAACAATCGGTTTACTCACCTTCCACCACTTCTGAGCTTAAGAATCGCGCCGCTTTTATTATCGATTATTCTTAATCCACCTCGAGAGTTCCTTTTGAAAAGAACACTCGGATTATAATGTTTCATAATGCTCGATATAGCATCTTCATTTTTTAATTTTAATTATTATTTTTTTTTTTTTTTTTTTTTTTTGCGAAAACTTGCAGATGCATGTTAACACGCAACGACACAAACTGGGCAGGCAGGTAGCATAAAGAACTAATCGCGAGTAAAGGCCTCAGAGCTCAGCTCGAGAAAAATACTTGTCCATTACCTCTGCTGTAATAATAATGATACTAATGCAGCTCATCCGGCGTTCCTTCTGCCATTCTACGAATGCTGCGTAATTTACAAACGCAAGTGGGTTGTGCCATTTAAAGCGCCTGACGAAATTTGTCTATGTACTGGTCAAGTAACCTTGTACTTTGTAAGTTAACTTATCATATGCGATTCAGAGGGATATTACACAAAGAGAAATTGCAACAGAATTGATAGGTGATGTCGTGCAAGAGAGTGTCTCCGAGCATAAATATATAACAAATATATAGTAAATACATTCAGTGAATGATTGACAATTTGTAATGTCTGAACAAGAATAATCTAACGTAATCAGTCTAACTTAAATTGTTTTGTTATCTTATTTAGTTTTATAAATTCTTACTTATTTGCTACGCAGCATATATTAAAGAATTCGTAAGAGCTATATGACTACTTCTCTTTACAACATTAATTTCTTGTTATCCTTTAATGTAAGTTGTTAATAATCTATAAAACATTAGTATTCAAAGTGAAAGTGCACTCAATATAATATAATTAACGATATTAATGACATTGGATATTTGTGGATTCGATGTCTCGCAGTTTCTTCAATTTCACCGTCTCCAAAAAGGTAGCAGCCTTCGAATGATATACACGTTTCAGTACGTTACGTAAACATCTCGTCGAGAATCATGCAAATACAGAGTTTATAAATCATGGTGGATTTGGGATTTTTTTTCGGCAATAAAAGGCACGTCTTGTCAATCTTAAGCTTGGTCAACGTCACGCCGCTTCAAAGTGTCGTAAATCTGACGGTTACATTGCAAAAACGGTTACATTGCAATGAACCTTCTGATGTGTATTAGCTTTTACATTTATTTAAAAAAATTTTTAATAATTATATTGACAAAAATATGAGAAAACGGAAATTTCTATGAAAAGTGATTGAATATGTTCGCCGATTTGATCATTTTAATTGAAAAATTATTCTGTAATTGCGTGAAAGCTGTACGAACAAAGATTTAAAGTAATATATACTCTACAGTTTATAACGAATTTGTAACTAATTTAAGCGCGAAACTACAAGTTATGTAAAAAGTAAAATAAATCTTCTACACAGCAATAACTTTTAACGTGTCAATAAATTGATATCGAGTACTTCTGCGAAGTTTTATTTGCGTGCATCAAACGGCAGATCGAAGTTTCCAAGAAATTTGTGTACACGTGGTGTATTTCGCGCTGGTGTATTTATGATGTTCTTATCGTAAATGTAAATTTTCATTTGTCTCGGCAGGTTTGTGAGTAGGCAAATATCGTCAGGAAGACATTTCTTGCAAATCATGACGAATGCCGGTCTGTAAAACGAAATCATGGCTAATTTGGTAACATTTAACTCGATTTCACGCATTCGATTTTTATGACTTCTTTCAGATTTCTCATTTTACAAATATCTAAAAAGTTTTCTCAGCTTAGAAGTATTTTAGAGATTCTCCTGTTGCACAAAGTTATTTGTTTTAATTGAGAACGTACACATACAGGAGTTTGGGTAGTCATTTAGGCATACAGATTATTACCTCTGATAAGAAAATTTGTATTAAACGTCATTTTGTACTATCACTTCTCCTCGAGGCACAAAGTGATAGCCAGATATTTATTTAAGATTATTGCAAATAACAAGAATGTGATTCTTTTTTTTCTCTTTCTTTTTAAATGCATCGTGTGATAACAGTATTTTACTTAGGGCGAACAAATTAAATGCTACTGAAACGAAGAGATGAACATTCAACACAGGCTTGAAGTTCGAAATCGTTTTACGTCTTGCAATTATTGATAATCTTTCAAAAAATACTTGATCGGAACGACCGATACGACCATAAATCTATTGACATGGGCCCTAATGCTCGGGCGCTTGGCGAACTGGCCGTTCGCGGCCAGTGAAAAAAAAATTAAACTTCGGCAATTACCCGTCAGCTATTAGCGACATAGCTGTTTGATGTATACCATTAGCAATGCGCGGGAATAGACGGAAGAGTTTACCGAGTGCGCCTATGTGTGCGCGCGTGTGTACATCACGTCGGCTCTATTAAATCATAATAGGTCCACAATGTGAGCCTCTGCTCCCGGAGGTTGACTAGAAACGAGCTTAGACAACACCGTACCGAAAGCCAAGACCTCGCTCACGTCGCCGTGGTCCGTACGTCGCGAATAGCACTCGAGGGATGTCTCGTTTCACCGACGTCGAGATTTAAACGCTGAGGTTTAGGGAGGTAGAACGTTTTCGGAAGGTGTTTTCGAGATACACACATATTACATATATATGCACAACACTTCTTTTTTATTTCGACAATTCTTCTTCTGTCGTGCTATCAAGAGCTAGGCAAAAATAGCACGTTACTCGAAAGTTGCAAATCATAGGCACAATAATAATGAATATTATTTTATATTTCTTATCTCAACGTATGTAAAAAATAATAAACTGACGCGTATACGGAGTGTTTGGTAATTAGTGATACAATTGAAAATTAGATAATTGTTTAAGGACCAAGTGGAAAAGCTTCGAGAATGAGCTTTTGAACGAAGCTTGATTTCGGCGTTGTGGCAATTAGTTCATTAATAACTCACAGGTAATGATTATAAGAGGTGCTCGAAATTAAGCCGCCAGGCCGCAGTAGCAGCAGTAGATCGTAAGACGTGCTTTACGGCTTCGCCGTCCGATTCGTACATCCAATTTCGCAATAGCACGGGGCGCCGAGCGCTTACCCTCGTTAATTGCTCTTTTTCTGCGTAGGAGTCAACCGCGGCATCCCTACTCCCCCCCCCCTGTCCTCGCATCATTCGTACAGGTGCGGGTTATCAGACTGACCAAGATAGATCGAGCCGACGATACTCGCGAACAACGAGGACGGTTAGTTTCCAGTCGTAGAAGGAGGGATCGAAAGAATCGCCAGTAGTCTAGGGGGGAAAAGACGAGAGAGATAACCAGAAGGAAAAAGAGAACGCGCTACAGGGAGGAGGGGAGAAATAGGCTGATATTGCAAGAGGCAGAATTTACCCGCTTGATAACGATACGGTGGATAGTAGGTATATGTAAGGAGATCTCGTGGCTCTCTCTCGTACGATCGGCTCCTCGGGGGGCGGAAGGTGGGGATCTTGAGTAGGCATAGAACACGGTCTGCACTCTCTTGCGTTTAGGCGCCTCAGTTGCGGAAGAATATTGCTCGTTTTCGGACGCGAATCTATATTTCGCGAGGGACCACGCTGACTCGCGGCCGCAGAGCGATCGGTGATCGATTGATGGATCTTTTTTAAAGGAGATCTTCGCCGCTGTAATTGACTCCGTTGACGGCGACCGCGATCGATAGTTCGAACCGAACTCGGGTCCATCCTGCATCAGCGGTAGGTGACCGCGGTTCGTGAATTTTTTTGTTCGCGATATTATTGATTATTCACTCAGGAAACTTGTAATTAAATTTTACATATAACGTAGAAGTACAGATTTTTAATTCTCATAACGATTCTATATGATTAACAATTTAATATCACACTTGTCATTTAAATGAAGGTTTATTACACGGTTTATATATTTCAAGCATAATCATGTTTTTACTATTGTCGTTATTTCTTTTTTAAAACTTCATTCAAATATTATTCCGATAATACTGTTCCAACACTCACAACCTGATAATATTGTCTGGCAATCGGTGTCGCAGATATTGTTGTACAAATACATTATCTTTACCATAACTCAAAGCTTTCCATCGAGACATCGTCATTGATCACCCTCGTAGCATAAATCATCGAGCTGCCCGCGTAACAGTCGCAGTCATCTCCCAGATTTCCCAGTGTAGGTGTTGTTCCGGCGAGACCGAGTCGAAACATGGAGAACACGTGACCGCGTGATAAAGTGACGGGACGCGAGGAACAGTGCGAGAGGAAGAAGAGAGTAGATTTCGCGAGTGTGAGCGCGGGGGGCGAGTCCGGACCGAACGAAAAAGCGATGCCAAGAGTCGCGAGGACGATCAAATCAGATCGGTATCGTGCGATCCGCGATTGAGGTCACTGAATTCGCTCGAAGCCCACTGCCGGTGTTAGGCGCTTGCCAGTTGCGGGCAGTCGCGACGACTAGGTCGAGGCGAAGATGAAGAACAACTCGAGAAATTCGAATCACGAGAAGAACGGGCCGGAGAACCTGAAGCTGCTGCAGGTACCGACGACGCCGCCCGTGACACCGTCGTCGCCCACGACGCCGACCAGAGGCCTCGACGATGTTTTCAAGGAGCTGCCGATCACCGACGACACTTCGTGCGGCATATGGTGCTTCAGAGGTCCGAACCTGCAGAGGTTCGCCAACAAGAAGGCATACGTGTTTCTCTACGGTTTGCTCGGTTGCATATTTTCCGCCAGTTATGCCTATTTTAATGGTACAATCACCACCATCGAGAAGAGATTTAAAATACCCTCAAAAACGACGGGTATGTATGATACATCTTTTCATTATACTTAATTTTGTGTATTATATTGCGGAAATAGGGATAATTCACAAACATTGGAAAGACTGAAAGATTTTGCATTAGTTTCTTGCATTAGTTTTTAAAAAATAAGATTGAACGTTTTGCAAGCAAACGAAAAATTAAAATAGAACAAATCTGTGAAATAACAAATTGCCATTAGTTATTCTGAATATATGCTAATAATATAATTTATTCATTATATATTATAAATATTTTAGTATTACATTTTTGTTAATTCTATTAAAATTTTATTAATGTCATATAAAAAAATTTTTTTATTAGTAATTTGCTTTACATAGAAAATAAGAGTTAGCAGCTTATTAATTTTAACGATTCAAAATGTTGTTTCATCAAGCTTGTAATCAAGTTTAACATTTTAAAAGCAATGTGGAATTAGCGTTCGCGTGAGGAATGTCATTAAATGAACCTCTAAGGCACAATTTACGCCACGTATGTGTTTTCTTCTCATGCAGGTCTAATCACAGTGGGTAACGACATCTCGCAGCTTTTCGTATCAGTCGCCCTGTCGTATTACGCAGGAAGGAGTCACAGGCCTCGATGGATCGCTTTCGGTATTTACACCGTAAGTTTTTCCACATGTATATATATCCTCGAATATCGACATTTGCGATTAATTCGGCGTGCACCGCGTATTATTCGCGCGCCGTACTTTCGCGTCGGCAAGAAACGAAATCAGCTGTCGGCACACGCCCCGAGGAACGAGCCGGTAGACGTCATAACTCACCGATTGGTCGGTTCTTAATTAAATTAGGAAGCGTTAGAATCGTAGCTACGCTCATTCATGCCTCTTGCCATCGTACTCTCGTCGTCGTGTGCTTAGCTAAGCGCTCCATTCTTCGAACAGTAAAGAGGCGCTTGCGGAATGCTCTAAATGTAGAGCAGATAGCAGATAGCTGCGATATTTATGACACGATGATAAATGAATTATGAAAAATAATGAAGGAAATGAGCAATAATAAAGTTAGAATAAAATTAGTTGTTAAATTTAAAAAAGTATCACGTTGATACTTTGAAGCTCGCGGCTCATTGTCAGGCATAAATCGTTCTTGAATATTAACGAAATAATGATCCGCTGTTTATTTTATCAGGTTGTACTTTTCTGTTGTCTTACAATGCTACCGCATTTTCTCTACGGGCCCGGCGAAGACGCTCTGTCCCTGACGAAAGAATACGCGGGGACGAAAGCGCAAGGTACACTAAACGCAAGCGTGATTCCCGAAAAACATCGGAAATTTCTTTGTTCGGGCCAAGAAAGTCGCGGGCCGGATTGCGAGGTCGAAGATGGAAACTTCGCGCCGCAGGTGATCCTCTTCATAGCTCAATTGGTGGCCGGGGTGGGTGGTTCACTTTATTACACCCTCGGGGTGTCGTACATGGACGACAACATACAAAAGTCGAAAACGCCGGCGCTGATCAGTTTCTCGTACTTTCTGCGAATGCTGGGACCAGCCATCGGCTACGGACTGGCCTCATTTTCCTTGAAGTTCTACATCAGCCCGACTTTAACTCCCACTATCACGATGCAAGATCCGAGGTATGTAGGACTAGCATAATTGTATCATATTGCAATTAAACAGTGATTTACTGATTTGTTGATAAATTATTGATGAAAAAATGGAAAAAAATTATATTAATTATATCTAATAAATTTATATTAATGATATTTCAGGTGGCTAGGCGCTTGGTGGTTAGGATGGATCATTTTGGCCATTCTCCTCTTCATTTCCGCAAGCGTGATCGGTCTCTTCCCGAAGACCTTGCCGAGAGCGGCCGCTCGCAAAGTTCTGGCTTTGGAGCGCAATAAATCGGCCGCGAGCATTAAGGGCGAGCCGGAATCGGAGCTACCGGCGTCAATCTCGGACATGTTAAGAACGTTTAAGCGCCTGCTGACGAACACGACTCTGATGTGCAACAATCTGGCGACGGTCTTCTACTTCATGGGCTACATGCCCTATTGGATCTTCATGCCGAAGTACATTGAGACCCAGTACAAGCAATCGGCGTCCGTCTCGTCGTTGATCACCGGCACGGTCGGCTTGGTGTTCAGTGCCTTCGGGATTTTGCTGTCCGGCCTGGTCATTTCCAAGTACAAGCCGAAGGCTCGATATCTGGCCGCGTGGAACGTCATGATTGGCGTTATATCGATCCTGGGAATGATCTCCTACGCTTTTCTCGGCTGCTCGGCGAACGACAACCAGGTCGCCATTCAGCCGAACGGCGTACTGAAAACGCAACTACCCTGTAACGAGCAGTGCCACTGCGACTACGTCACCTATAATCCAGTGTGCTCCGAGCATGGACAAACGTTTATATCCGCGTGTCACGCCGGCTGCCGCAGCATAAAGGTTTGATATAATTTTGCGCAATCTTTGTGAAAAACAATCTCATTTCAGAAAAAAACCTGGTTACGTAAGGAGGGAGGAATTCTTTCAAAGCAAATAGAAAATTTTTTTAGGCAATTTTTCAATGTTAGAAAAGCTTTTTAAGTTACTACAACATCCAAAGGCGAGATTTTCTGTAATTTCTGTCAAATATATTTATTTCTTTTCTTTCTTTAGCTTCACAGTAACGGCAGCAAAGTTTATACGGACTGTAGCTGCGTAAAACCGAAATTGGCTCGTTCCCTGGCGCATCCGTTTACGAACGTCACATCCTTCCCATTTTCCACCGAGGCCCCGTTGGAAACGACCGAACCCACGGTGGAGCCTTTGGGAACGGCTGTTCCGGGTTCGTGTCCGGTCGATTGTATGCAGAAATTCTACATCTTTCTGGCGGTGGTGTGCCTCTTGAAGTTTAGCGGCGCGACTGGGAGAGCGTCGAATTTCCTAGTTTCCGTAAGATGTGTCGACGAGAAGGACAAGACGGTCGCCATGGGCTTCGGATTAATGATAATGAGCCTCTTTGCCTTCATACCGTCGCCTATTTTGTTTGGATTTATATTAGGTTAGTGATAAAGTTCATTTGTACACACGCGCGCGCACGATTAATAGCATCGACCGAGACAGATCGTTCAACGTTATCAAATTGTTATTATCAAATGACAAATAAAGCCTCTCGCGATGTCTCTATTTATTTTTTTCAGTAGCATACCCTGACTTTGTTTCGAGTAATCTTTATTGAACATGTACTTCATATATCTCTATATTTATACACTCGCTTGATTACACGCTCTCTCTATTTGGAGATTAATTAATATTTTATCTTTTAGACAAGACCTGTCTCGTATGGGGTAAAACTTGCTCGGGAACGGGAAATTGCTGGCTATATAATGGCGAGGCATTGAGGTATTTGCTGAACTTTACCGCGGCCAGTGAGTATCTTACAAAATGAATTACAACGAAGAAAATGCAATTGTCATTGTTTGCGCACTACAATCTCTTTGTCATTCAGGTTTCGTAACGATCGGTACGCTATTCGACGTGGGCGTTTGGTATTTCGTCAAAGACGTGAAGATCTTTGACGAGGAGATCGAGCTGAAAGATATAGCCGAGGAGCCCGGTGAGACGCTTTAAAGAATAATTGATGATCAAGTTCAATCATCCTTTCGGCGTATTCGTTACGCGCGTGAAAAGAGACTTTGATCGAGGATTTTCAAGAAGGATCGAACGACGAACGCGAAGACCGAGCGAGAACCGACAAATAAAGACTTTACAAGTACCTTAAGCACCTTCTTAGCTATTTAAAGCCCGTAGTAACCTAGATAGAATCGACTGTTGGTAGATCACTCATGGTGTTCGCAGAAGAAGAGCGATCGCCGATCTTTTATTAATATTCATTTATTACGATTAATTATTTTTTTCGTCGTAACAGGTATCGTTGTACGATATGGTATGCATATTTGCTTTATTTCGAACTTATGTTTAAACGGAAAATGATAATGAGCCCTAGGGAGGGGGTGCCAAATTAGTACATATATAAAGTAATATATATACACTTAGTATATATACATCGCTTGTCGATGGTAAAAACAATGATTCATGCTATTAGCGTGAATCATCTATAAAGTTAAATGATTGTACATATAATGATTATACTGAAATAGTAAAAAAAAAGAAACACCGTAATTTATCTACTGATAATGAAATAATAATGTAGCCGCTGTTACTAGCGCGTTAGAAATTTTTATCTACGTATAAGGTACTATAAAACAACAAGGAATTACTAACAGGTAGGCAAAATAATCCACAAAATTAGGATATAATAGATTTTAATCGTGTAATAAATATCAAAAAAATCATAATGGACGTCGTTATACATATGTTACATTTTACAAAGAATAACTAGAAATATGGAAGTATGCCATGAAATACAGCAAATGTTTTATTACCCGGCTATCCTTTATTAGAAATTTTTGGAGTACTCACGTATATGAAAATATCATATATAATCTTTATCAATCGCAAGGTATCAATTCTGCATGATAATTGGAGCAACTTACTTATGTGCTAACAACTGATATTACGATTTATAATTAAGGAAAGTGTACGTCAAATTTTACTGTTCACTTATCAAAACATGAAATTGTTAAATGGGGGGTTTTATATCTCAAACGCGACAGATGTCAGAGATAGTCTTGTAGCGTTGTGTACTTTTGTAGTCGAAGCTCCTTATCGCTCGCAGATATAAATTTATCGTGACGGTGCTTCTATTCGACTAATGGATTACTCGTTCCTCCATAAATATCTACAGAACTACGCATCGTTTTCACGTGTGACGTGCGTCACACCTATCACGTAAGACACACCGATGGTAATTCTAAAGATCGGTTTGCTGCGCTCCTTTGCTGCCTTTAGCGATATTTTTCGGGCTGGGAGTCCCGAGTCTCTCCGAATGTGGATCAGGACTGTTGTCTTGCAAGACATCTGGCAAGCTGCCAAAACCTGAAGAAGATTGTCCCCGAGAGGATGACCTACCGGGAACCATAGCTACCAGAGGTATACCCATCTTACTCTCCGGTCGAGTTCTCGTGCCCTCCGTCGACTTCACCGATAACCGATCCTCGTCTAGAGTTTCCTGACTCGCGTTCTGCTCGTATCGATCGATCAGCGACTTCACGTCCTTCAAGTGCGCGGTGTTAGCACTGCCCGAGTTGCCTTTCCCGTCCGAAAACGGATCCACTATCGGTATGCCAACTTCGTTGAAGTCACCCTGTTTGGGCACGCCGCTCTCTTGACCCTCCTTCGCCAACTCGGAGCTGCTTGTCTTCAAGGGATCGTTCTGATAACCATTCGGACTTTTGAATCTGGAATTTCGGCCTCTTCGTGGATCCTCGTAGTGATCGGGATTCGGGAATCGGCGTTTAAGGGACGCGTTCTTAGACGAGGAGCGATCACTCTCGTCGTGAGTTTGATCGTAATCTTTGCTCGAGATGCGCTTTCTTGATCTAGGACCGACGCTGCTGAGGTCGCTCTCGACATCGGAATCGAGTTCCAGCGGCGTGTAATCGACTTGTGTACTCGACCGTCTCTTACTCTCGTCGCTCGAACTGTCCAGCTCGTCCTCGGACTCAAGATTTCGGATCGTCGATTGCGAATTGTTTTTTGTTGGTGGATTTGAATTCGATCGACGATCGCCCGGACCCAACGGGCCGTACTTCAGAGATGCGCTCTTTTGAGTATCTTCTTCTTTTCTCAATGAATTTTCTTCCGGTTTTGCTGCCTCTGGTACAATCCTTGTTTCTGGTTCAACAACCGCCGCCACTTGTCTTATTTCACCATCTGCAAATATCATCGCATTATATAGTGCCATAATTTTACGGAAAAGAGAATTTATTTTATAAAAAAGGAACTCTAGTTATTTAACGAAAGAATTATAAATTTAATATTTTTTTTTAGAGAATATTTACTATTGTTGTTTAAGATTTCGGGTTGCTCGGCTGTTACTTGTTCGATCATTTCTTGCACCTCAACATTTTCTTGATCTTTAAATTCAACTTCTTCGTATAACTGTAAATTTTTGCAGAAAAACCAAACAATAATTTTGACTAAGAGACAAAGTAATAAGAATAATATTGTCAAATAACACAAGTAATCCCCGAGTTTTTCGGAATCGTGCAAATGACAAATTATCTTTTGACTGCCCCAGTATTGACACGCCTGACGCGTGACGAATTCGTAAAGAACTTTGCCAAGAGCAAAAACGAATATTGCGATCCACATCATCCAGAAGCCTATGCTGATAGCTTTGTCTTGCTTGTAGACGGATCTTATACTGATCAATACATCTCCTACGAAAGTGGAAGCGAATAACGCATACGCCAATAAAGATCCAAACTGAAACATGATAAAAAAATTTTTCATCTGCGATTGTTCATCAGATATTATTAGATCACAAAATTTAATTATGTATAATATAAAACACAATTAAAATATAATTGATTATAATTCTAATTATAATTGATTATAATTCTAATTATAATCAATTAATTATATACTTATTACACCTTTAAAAACAAAACGAGTGAAAGGTGTAATTACCTCAAAAAGCATCCAGGCGGCCTGGCATTTAGTCGAATCGCACGGGCCATCTTTCGCTTGGTCATTACCCCATCCTGTCAGGTCCTCCACGCAGCTGCAACCGCTGTAGATCTTCACGTTGTCGAGGTAAATGATTGCGGAGCAGCCGGCGTAGCAAGGGCTATAGTACGTGAACTTTCCCAAGCTGTCGCAAATCGGTCGGAAATCGGCGTCCTTAGAGCAACCACAGTGTTTGTTGCAATATTTCAAGAATGTGTTGCTACAAAAGCGTCAGTCAATAAATCTCACTTGTATGTGCAATTACCGCGAAATAAAACGGAACGTCGCAGAATGAGATACGTTAATTACGTTTTGTCTCTTTGTTTTTAATATTAATGCTATTCAATAAATGTTAATTTAAGTATCGGAATACTTACGAGCCTTTTTCTAAATAAACGACAGGTGGTTTGTCGCAAGTGGCAAAGATTAGCGCGATGATAATCGCTATTGTCAGAAGCACGATAACGAAACTGTAACCGACAATAAATCTCGCTCGTGGTTTTGCCTTGGCTAATACTAGGCCACTGATGATTACGACCAGTCCAATTAGGACGGGTCTCACAATAGCTAGAATGGAACGTAAATATTGCATTTATTTTACATACAAATTATTTTAACTGTTACTTATGTAATATTTTAACTTTCTATAACGCCTTGTGACTTGAAAATTATATATATTTTTTAAGTCTCAATAATTTAATCACTATGTTCCATTTACCGGTTACGTAATTCTTCTTTCATAAATAAAAAAATAAATTATAGAGATTTAGTATTTACACTTAATCTCTTTTATAGAGCGTTAATTAAAAGAAGACAGAATTTTTGTTTTCGTCTGTATAAAAAATAGCTATTGATAACTCCATGTTCCAAGAATTGACTTTTTAGCTGATATAATTTTTTTCTCCTTTTATCTATATGCCTTAATAGAGATATTGCTTAATCTTACTGATGATTAGCCTGGAAGACAGAGGATCGTTAAATCCACGGAACATTCCTGTCGGTCTAGGTACGTGAAATCTGGACTCTAAGAAGATGTCCTCGTGCGTCATGAAATTTACAAAAGCCGTGGCGCTGAGTACCGTCGCCAGAATATTGCATATTAAAATTTTGTTAGTGATCAATCTGCATAACGACGGCCAAAAATTGGGACTGCCGACCTTTTTATTGGTCGTTCGGTGGGGTGCTCGGTTACGTATCGCAGCTCGATCGAGAAGTGAAGCTGCAGCTTGTTCGACAACCTGAGACAAAATAAGTATAACTATATTAACTGAAAATTTTGATCTTTTTTTGTTACAAAAAAATGTAATATAATAAGAATAGATAGATTAATATAATTCGGAACGCTTGCATTATAAAATCATATAGAATTTCAATTAATTTAGCAATTCGTGTTTATGTTTCTATACCTCTGAAGGTAGTCTTCTTGGGAACCACGAAAGCAGCAAGCCAGGAATCACCAATAATATGGAGAGAATTGGGAATCCAAGCCACCACGCTCCGACTTGATCCTGATATGATTGTATAATACTGAAATCTTCCGCGTCTATCCTGGGACACGAGTTAATAAGTTCAAAAATAAATGTACATGTCTGTGTCTGTTTTATAATCACATTAATTAATGTAATTAATTCTTAGAGTTAGCAAACATAATAATTACAATTACGTAATTAATTAAAACATATTGTAGTACTTACCAAAGGCATCCCCAACCTAATAAGTACCCAAAAAGAACCCCGATGATCCTCACGGCGATTATTACACCGATGAAAGCGGTCACGTTTTTCCTTTTTGTGTTATCGTCTAAGTAAGAAATTCCTAGTGCATAGTATGTGATATTTGCAATCCCGCTTACGATTAGTACTAGAATTAGGATAGTCATAGTAAAATAACAAAGCTCGTCCTCCTCTGTGATGATCCTCAATGATTTGGCAGTGCATAATTCTGGACTATCATCTGAAATCCAAAATACAGACTTAATGCGAAAGAAATTACTATTTGTTTATTATAAATTAAATGCTAACGTAATTTTTATGTAAAAAATACTAGCATCATCAACGTATTAAATTAGAATTATTCTGTTTTAGAGTTTTATTGTTTTGAACACTAACCCGCGTACAATGACATATGAGTGATGTTTTGTGTTTCCTCGATCACACGGACACGATGTGTTAAATGGGGTATTATCAAAATGAAATACGAGACGCTTTGTAAAAGGGTTAAAGCTCCTATCCACGAAGCCCTGTGTATTCTGTCGCCCCAATATGCTACCATCAATCCTAATAAAACAGGTGTTAATTCTGCTGCAACAAGAATCCAATCTGAAAAAGATAAGTTTATTTAAGAAATAATGTACCTTAAGATTTTTGCATCAAGAGCATCTTAAATTTATATCCAATGCTTTTACGTTGCATATTGAGAAAATTTTGAAGATTTTGATTTGTAAATTATTATTTTTTTATTATCGAAGTTATTCTTGAAAGAAGAAAGTTACTGATGCCGAATTTTTCATATGTGATATGTTAAAAATAGCGTAATCTTATGCGAAAGACTTATATAACAATTAATAAAGCAGTTTGCATATTTCATGCATAAAATATCTTTATATAATATTGTGCAAATTTCTTTCAAGAGTTCTTTTAGTTAAATATCTTTTTACATTGTCTATGATACACGCACCCATTACATAAGGATCGATTTGAAATCTTCTAGCTATTGTGGATCCCGTCACATGAAAATAAGCATATGATGCAGTTTGCACCACACCGATCCAACAAATCAATCCCACGAAGAGTTTCCGCGTTGCAAATTTCGCCAGTTTCGGGCATTGCATTTGTCCGCAACCGCAATCAATTGATTGGCTGGGTATTGGATTGGCCGGTCCTGACAAACCGCCTTCCACCTCCGATCCGCTTCTTATTACTTCCGGGAAACGGACCGTCATTTTTCTGGAAAGGAATATGTGCCTTTTAATCCAGATCAAATATATTTAAAATCTCACTCGCGCACCTGCAGACGTAGCTTTTCATTTAGTTAAGTACCGTGGAAATAGACGTAAAAAAAGATATTCCGCTACTTTCAATAAATTTTACGTTATAATTTGGAATATCATGTGCAATCAAAATTAAGAAGAACATTACGGCAATATCTGTGTCTGATATCGACTTTATGTGTCATCGTGAGTCATGGCGTTAGTGGAATCGTAGAAGCCTCGTCAAAAGCAATTGCGATATCGAACGTAAATTTTTAATACAATTAAATAATAGGAAAACATTATTCGCGATAATTATTTAAAGAATCAATAAAGTTGTGATATGGAGACATTACGTTGCACAGTCGTCTACTTACGTTTATTCAGGTTTGCACTGATGATAAAAACAGTTATTTTTTCGTGTTAATAATTCACCTTTGAGGTAAGTTCACATGGCGACAACATCTCGCGTAAAATTTCACTCCTTGGGAAGCTCGTTTTCCGTCTTTTCACCTCTGTCCTTGCGGACAAGAAACGAAAGCGTTCAACGTGGGCGCACAGGCGCGGCACACTATTCGACGACGAATACGCGCGTTATCTTCTTACAGATATGCCGCTGAGATATCTTCCGATAAAGTTAGAGTGTAATACGCTCCACGATAGGGATAACATTACCGACACCGACGTGTCGCGGAGGTGTGAGTATGGCGTTGGTGCTATTCGCATGAGTGCACAAGGGATAATTGTACGCAGCGTTCATTCTTTATCACAATACTATTGGCATTCGAATTAAACACGTATGCTAATTACGCTTAAATTTAATTTAACATTTGCTTGTGTTCGAAGATTTATTTGACAAAAGGCCAATTCTCTCGAGCAAACGCAGATTTGTCAATTCATTGAGTATGTATTATTGTTATTAACATGGCTTAATTGCGATTCAACAGTAATTTTAATTAGAACTTTATAAAAATTGTATAAGAACTTCTTCTTTCTCGTATATGTTTTTGAATATACAATGCATTCTTTAACACAATTTAAAAGTATTCTGCAGATTTTCTGTCGGTTAATTAAAATAGAAAACCGTAACATAAAAATATAAAAAATCTTTCGTGCTGTAAACGATCGAAGTTGACACTGATATCACATATAATTCGATTATATAAGCATGTACATAAGAATTATCTTTTGTTTTTATACGTAGCAGCATTATGTAATGATAGCAATCAGTTAAAATTAACAAATTGATCAATTACGCCAAATTTTATACTTATTTGACACATATATTGTACTTTCTGTATATTCGTACATATACATACACAGACACATATACACGCGCGCGCGTGTATATTTAGTATTAATATTGTAAAATTTCTAAATAAATGATTGAGAAATATTAGATTCGGCGTGACGTCTCCCAACTGTTCTTTTTAAATGTGCAATTAATTATAGCGTAAAAATAAAGTATTTTTTATTATAAATGTATTAAATTTTTAGAAAATTTTATCTTTTCGTATTTTTTATTCTTTTAAACTTTTTATAACTGTTTCTTATTTATTATTATTTCGTCGTAGTGTCAGATGTTGGAACGCAGCCGATGGTCCAATGAGATAATTTCTTTTTCGAAAAAGAATTATTCTCATTGGACCATCGGTTACGTTCCGACATACGACTGATTGTAGAACCGACCTAAATAAACATTCGGTGTATCACAGTTTTCTGTAATCTGAATAATCGGGCTTGGGGGGCGATTCGTATAAATTACTCCGCGATGCGATCCGCGAGCAACGACATCAGAACATTGGGCGCGTTCAGCAGACCAAGCCGCTGAGTAGCAGTCGAACGTGATTGGCTCTTACTTTTAGAACCAACCAATCAACTCAGAGTGTTGATAAGACGAACTCAATAGTTGTATCTGCTGAACGCGGCCAGAACGGGCCGCGGGCGCCGCGGTAACATGAGCAGTGGGAATAGAGAGGGGTAGGCTTTGTATACGTATACCCGGAATACCGAACTAACCGACCGCGGAGACCGCGCACTGTCCCCACTACACTAGTCATGTTTACCGCGGCCGCGGCGCCTGTGGCCCATTCTGACGTCGTTACTCCCGCGCTCCCGCTCCCGCTCCCGTGAGTCCCGTATCGTATATATCGCGGAGTAAATACACATCGCCGGGTCCGATTGTTTAGCTTGCGAAAAACTGTGATACAGCGAATGTTCATTTAATTCGTGTAGTGCTTCGCGGATATACGGATTGATATACGGATGCCGAGGTTTACGCATTCGATAATAGTGACTTAATTTCTATTACATTCTTTCGGACGATTGATTTCGCTTTTCTTAACCGTCAACTAGATTCGCGTCTCGCTCGCGTCGTGTCACGCGATTTCAGAATGAAGTGGCCTCGTCCGTCGTTTTCGGAACACGGATAAAGAATACGAGTGGACCCTGAATCGAGTGACGCCGCAAGCTGCGAGCCGCGACGTGTTTAATTAGCGACAGTATCTATTAACGGATTTACTCTCATATTTAATCGTGTTTGACGATTTGGCGATCGTGGAGGATAGATAAATCGTTCATAAATCGATGATTTAATTGCATGTAGTTGATCAAAATCGCGTAATCGCATTCTCGCGACAGTTGCTCCTGGCGAGTGAAGTTGGCGGTGCGATTTACGAATTTCTCTCCGCCACCTTCGCTTCACTTGTCGCGTCTACCTGCGCGCGGGAATGTGTCAAGTGGATCGTACAGTTTCGTTCGTAGTTTCTCCGACCACGACGTAATTCTTCCGTCGCCGTGTAATTAAGTATACGTGCCGCGTCGCGAGATTAAAACCGGGAGTGCCGTGCTTTCAGTGTCGCGCGATCATAAGTGACGATATCGTCGATTTTCGGCATTTTCGCTCGTGAACGTCGTCGCGTCGTGAGTGAGTGCGACGAGTGCGACAATGGACCAACGTACGGAGGAGGATCGAGGAGAGGAGAAGGCGGCCTGGGAGGCATCGGGCAACGGCGGAGCGACCGTGAGGTGAGTAGTTGTTATTCCTTTATTATTTTGCTGTCCTGTCAGTCCTGTGGCGGATGGCATTGCAGATTCCGCCACTCGAACTCCTTTTGAGGTTCCACTCCGGCGCAATTGCGCAATTTCGGAGTTCGATCTCCGGCATATGCGAGAAGAGACATTACGTCGCGAACATCGATCGCGTCTCTCTTATTCGCACAGTCGTGATATTAGTTAATGCCCGGAAATATGCATTAGCATCTTAAAATCAAACATATCTGTTAAAACGTTTTAGAAATTTAACGGGCGCGATATAATAATTATGTATTTCAAGTATACCTATTTATTTTCTTGGACACTTGCACTGCTTTAATGTAAAAATATTTCTATGTTACAGATCATCGCAGGGCTACAACTTACAACTCCGCTGTTGCGCATCGGCCGGTGAGTTATTTTTTTTTTTATTTCAATCATTTCCCAAATAATTTTACAAAAACTTTTTCTGACAAAAAATACAATAACAATAAGTCCGATTAACATGGAAAGTATCGCGAAAAATTTCCATGTGATATTTCGGCATATTTAACGATTTAGTGCGCATGCAATCGTAATTAATTGACAATTAGACTTTATTTTTATAATTTATTCTAAAAGATTGCTAGCAAAATTTCTAATTGATTAAAATCATGTAATTTTGTTTCTTCCGTAATAAATAATATGTGCGCACTATTGAAATAAAACACGAAAGCTGTCGAGAAAGCTTAGCGATAAGAGATTTTATCTCATCATTCTTGCCAAGGTGATAGTTCTCGATTACGAGAATGACGAATTTCGTGTTCGCCTGGCATGTGAGCGCGAGTCGAATCGCGAGAGGTCCAATTACGAGGACGCCGCGCGAGGCATAGCCAGCTCTCTAACGCCGGGAAAAGGAGTTAGCAGCCTTAAGCACACTTAAGTCGGCGCCATAAGAAAATGACGAATGCCAATTAGCATATGAAAAGCTCCCACCCCGTCGAGGTGGCGTCTGCGTCGGGCAAGCTACGAACCAGTTCCGGCACTCTTGGTAGGGCGATCACGTTTTTGAATATTAAGGGCAGGATTACACCAAGGGCTTAACGCGCGAAATTTAGTCCGGCGCGAGGCCGAGGAACGAGAAAAAATCACCCTTAAGACCCTCCGCAACGGCCGCCCGGTGAAGCGGAGCCGGTCTTAGAGATGAGACGGAGAGGAACCGATACGTGTAGATCCTTCGGCTTTCCATCAGAAAAAACGCGTGTTATCCCCTTAAACATTCCTCCCAGACAATCTTCGGGATTTCTACTTACTGACGATCATTAAAACGTTCATTCATCAACGACAACAACGTGGATCTGAGAAACGATTGCGTTAAGATTAATAATATTGAATAAACAAGTAGGACGAAAGTAGAAGCAGAACTGCTCGTTCTGGATTTAAACTCAAGGACATTAAATATTCAAGTGAAATAATAAAAGTGGACATTAATTCTGGACATTAATACAGTAAAATAATAAAATTTAATAAATTTTTACATTTACTTAATATTTAATTTGCTTTCAATATTTAAATCATTTATAGTAAATTTTGAATTAAATATTTTAATGAAATATTTTTAATTAAATATTTTAACTAAATATTCTAAGAAAATGTAAACGCATATTATTACATCTCGTATTATATTGGATGCTTCATTAAAATCGTAGATATATAAACATTTACACGAATATGCTGCAATAATTTATTGCTGAAATGCGTGTAATTTAACAGAAGAGCGATAAGAACAGCTTGTGAAATTTGCACAAAGTTTTTTACAAATAGGTATATAAATGCATTATAAATATATATATGGAATTAGAGTATTTGTATATAGATATAATATTTATATAGATATATATAAATGTCTATACGAAAAAAATATATATATGTGTATGTATATATATCTCTTGCAGGAGGATGCAGGCTTTCCATTAGTGGAGTAAGTGACCAGCGCTCGCATTTTCTTTGATGTCAGTTAATTTACTAATAACATCGCTTCGCGACCGCCGTGCGCTCGCCCTCTAAATATTTGTACCGCCAACATATCAACTTGGTCTCATGTAATTAAGTTTCATTATTATTTGAGGGCGATCGGCTGGGAAAAAGTCCTTTCGCAAGGTATATTTCGTATCAGTTGGTCGAAACTTTATTTCGCTCAGTTTCACCAGCGAGGATGTTCGGTTTTTGCTTATCGACCAAGACCGCGTAAGCATGAAATAGAACTCTTTTCGTACCAGAGAACCAAGATCCAGCCGTTTTACTTAACTTTCAGATAACAGCTAGCGCATTCATCGAGAAACCCTTTCATTTTCTTACACAAACGTAATCCTGAATGATTAGCAAGCGACAAAGAGCATATCCTTACGTGGAGGGAGAATGAAAATCTCGATCGACCTTACTTGAAGCGGAAGAGCGTGGAAAGGGGTGACGAGGTTGCACGAGGGGGAGGAAGGTTCGGCGATCTTAGCAGAGGATTACGTAGAATTAAGTCCAGAACAGGGGCGTGCCCCCGTAA